TTTGTGCCAGCTCAAGGCGTTTGTGTTTTATTTTTTTAATAGTGAAATTAATCAGTAAAAGCCACTAGCATAAGGTTTAAGCCGTTGCCAAAGCACTCAGCCAGCGCCGAAATCAGCAGCGAAAGAATACGATGGGGTAAGGCCGGTGGGCGTGGCGGAAGCGCCGCAAAAAGTGATTTTACTGTGGGACAAATCGACGCCGTACTAGCGCTGACATCTCCCCCCCCCCATGTTGTTGTTGTTGTTGCTGGCGTTCTGTGTGTAGCGGGCGGCGTAAATATGTACACAAACATACATACACACACGCGTGGGCAGGCCAATTATGTGGGTGTGCAGGTGTGTGCGGCTGTGCAGGTGTGCGTGTGTTTTCCGCCTGAGAATCAAAAAATCAAAAGCAAGGCTGCCGAAAAGGCTTAGCACATAATGCAATTTAGTCGGCGGTCGCCAGTCGCCAGCGATAACGGAAAGACACTAGAGCTCAGCGGACGATGTCGGAGGATAGGTAATAGATAAGATAGTACATTCATAGTCGGTGGAGATGGAGACCCCCTCGAATATCGTAGAGCCTCCCCCATCAAATCAATCCCAATTACTTCAAAGAAAGAATACTTAGGATTCTAGTTGGTATATGACGTTCCAATAAGAACGCGAATTCTTTGGTTTTGAAGCCATCAAAATGGTTCCTAGGTGTGTTTTAATAAATTAATTACGAACTTTATTCGGATGATAAGATTTACCAAGGAAATGTAAAACATTAGTAACTCCAAAGTTAACTAACTAGTTTTAAATTAATTAATTCTAGTTGGTAGATGAATTTCCAATAAGAACGCGAATTCTTCGGTTTCGGAACAATCAATATTTTAAAAATGTATTTGGATTATAAGATTTACCAAGGAAATGTACAATATTAGTGACTCCAAAGTTAACTAACTGGTTTTAAAATTACGCAAAACAAGCTAAAATTTCGTCATCTCAGTACTGAAAGGCCTAAATTTGAAAATATTAATTACTTTACTAAATTATATTATAGTCAAAGTAGTAGTTTAACCCCAGGCCGACGTCTTTTACTATTTGTTCAGCGTTTTAATAGGAAAACACACACGCAGGCCCACCACATTTATTACCTTCTCGAAATGGAATTTTTAATTAATCGCACACCTGCCATTATAATCCCTTTATGACCCACAGCGAACAACCGATTTTCACCTGCCAGGCGCACGTCTTCCACATCGATCCGAAGACGAAGCGCACCTGGATCACGGCCAGCATGAAGGCGGTTAACGTGAGCTTCTTCTACGACAGCTCGAGGAATCTGTACCGCATCATCAGCGTCGAGGGCACCAAGGCGGTGATAAACTCGACGATCACGCCCAACATGACCTTCACCCAGACCTCCCAGAAGTTCGGCCAGTGGAGCGATGTGCGGGCGAACACGGTGTACGGTTTGGGATTCGCCTCCGAGGCGGAGTTGACCAAGGTGGGCTGGCCAGTCTATATACCATATTTCCTGTAACTAATCAAATACCCTCCTCCCCTCACAGTTTGTGGAAAAGTTCCAGGAAGTCAAGGAGGCGACCAAGAATGCCATGAAGTCCGCTAACGGCTCGAATGCCGTCACGCCCACCACCTCGGCCAACACGTCGCCCATTTCCGGGCGAGCTGTGGGCTCCATGCAGAACGACAACACAGCCATCGATCCGCACACCGTGGAGCCGCCGAATATGAGCAACACGAACACCCAGAACGCCAATCCGGACAGTCCCTCCCACAAGCTGCTGAGCACCAGCGATGTTAAGCCCGACATTGGATCGGCCACGCCCTCGCCGCAGCCCACTTCGGGCGGAACTGCAGTTGGTGGCGGCGGCGGCGGAGTGACCATCTCGTCGGGCGGAAGCATTGTGGGCATGCACACGGGTCCAGGAGCGGGTGCCACCGCCGAGCAGCAGCTGAAGTACGAGAACGAGCGCCTAAAAATGGCCCTGGCACAAAGGTGAGGGTCGGATTAGCCTTCCTTGGATCGAGGTCTCAATTCCCTGGTTTCTTTTTAGCTGCGCCAATGCCAAGAAATGGGAAATCGAGCTGGCTACCTTGAAGAACAACAACATTCGCCTGACCAGTGCTCTGCAGGTGAGCTAATAGAATTTAACAATGCTCAATATTTTGATAAATGTCACATGACATGCTGTAATGTTGTTACCAGGGTTCTGAAATTGACACACATTTTAAAAGCATGAAAAATTGTATTTTATAGTGTGAGCAAAATTGTTGACATGTGTGTCAAATACAAATGTGTTAAAATGTGAAAAATAATTATTAACACACACAGCTCACTTGTGTTTTTTACTCGATGTGTTTTCAACACGACGTGTTTTTTAACCATTCAAAGCATATATAAATTCTTATACTCTGGAAAACCGTGCACTTTTAAAATTTTTGAATGTCAAAAAATCATTGTGTTAAAAACACGCTGTGTAAAAAACATGTCGTGTTAGTAACACGTCGTGTAAATAACACAAATGACATGCGTGGGTTTTTTATGTTTCTAACATATGTTTTTTTTACACACAAGTCAATAACTATTTGCGAACTTAACACATTGATATTTAACATGTTAATAACACAAGTTTTTTACAGTGTGTGCTATTTTCCTAACCCTGGTTGTTAATGAAACCTCCTTTATTTTTTACTCCAAAGGAATCAACTGCCAATGTAGACGAATGGAAGCGCCAGCTGCACACTTACAAGGAGGAGAATATTCGCCTCAAGCGGGATATGGAGCAGCTTTGTGTGGGCGGAGGAGGTGTGGCTGCAACCGGAGCAGGAGGCGCCGTGGAAGACGAGTTACGTCGCGAGGTGGCCACGCTTAAGGCGCGAACGGAACAGCTGCAGAAGGAACTCTTGCAACAGGAAATTGAGCTTAAGTCGGCCAACCTTAGCCTACGCGAAAAGTCCAATGATCAGACTGTAAGAAAAGCAGCAATATAATTTAATATTATCATTAATATTACCCCTTTACAGCTGGCCAAGTTGAGCGAGTTAAACGTGGTGTTCGCCAAGCAACTTTCGGAGCTATATGGGGTGCAGAAGGATATGGAGGGTGTTATACAGCTAGCCAAGTGCACTTGAGACACAGAGTTGGCGGTTATGCGAAAGGTTTGAGTCCATATTGCTATTGACTATTATTATTATTATATATCTCTCTGCCAGGTTTCAGCGCAGGAACAGACTACAATGATCAACACTACAACGACATCATCGACAACAACAGGAAGCACGACTAGTAAACGTTATTTAAGCAACTTTCCAACGGCCGAGGCTGAGAGCACGCTCTCCAACGTCACCTCGATCCACACCCAGCTGCAGTCGTCGCTTTACGAGACCCAGAACACGGCCCAGCTGAAGGCCATGGACAAGCACTCGGCCCTGCTCCAGGAGCTCCATCAGCGACAGGCGGCTCCCAGGCGCAACTCTGCTGCCTCCGCTGAAGCAGCTGCTGGGTCTGGTGGGGCCAAAACCGCCACCATACTCGTATCCAAATCAAAAACCAAAACCGGGCTGCCCCTGTTGCTGAAGAATTCCATTAACAATTAGAGAAAATCCCAGAGAAAGGCGACGAGAGAGAGAATTTAGTCAGTGGCATTTTTGTAATCTTTATATTGGTAGTTTGTATACAAGGACAGCGCTAGGAGAGAACCCTCGTACTTCCCCAAACCCCCCCCTCATTTTAGGCCCATCTATTTATGTGTATCGTAGCCTCTTTTGGTAACTTCGAATTGAAAACAGAATAAACCTAAGCCCAGTATTTTCGTCAAAATTGTTCGCGTCCTTGTGGCACTTATGTAGGTCTTAATTGATTGATTCTCGTGCGCATTCAAGTGCAATATATACATTTATCTCTAGTATTTAAATGTAATAATGATATTATGTGCTCTATACACTTTCAGCTGATTGTTAATTAATTTTTAATGAGAGCTTGCTAACGAATACTCCCCGAAACTCATTTCCCAAAGATAAACCCAAGCATTTCTATTGAACAAGTGTCACAAAGATTATTTTGTAAATGTGCTCTAACTTTTTATAGTATTTTTAGGAGGAACCTTTTGTATTCTCTAAATCTTAGGAGTAAAATTTAAATGTTTATTTATTGAATTGTATTTCAACCCCCATTCGATTTCAAGGTCCCCTCACACGGCTCCCGTTTGCAGTTATGCACTGATTTACTAATATTATATATGATATTTATAAATATAAAAATTAAAGTATGCATAACTAACAATGACTTAGACGACGAACACACTAAAAATCCAATATTGAAAGGTAAAATAAATAAACGAAGAGAAAATTTTATAAGTGGAACGAAGTCCAAGTAAATCACGAGACTAGCAAAGTAAATTAAAAACAAAAAACAAAACCAGTCAAGTATGTGCATCAGTGGACAACTAGTATAATACATTAAAAAATTATTAAAATTAATTTATATTTATCGAATCGAATTAAAAACGCAACTCGAATAAAGCCAGCAAATAATACATAACAGTACACACAATCTCCGAAACACAAACACCCACTAAACGAAACGGTTATGAAGCGGTTATTTCGAACGTTTGCGGTTATATTCAAGCCATATTGTTATGCACTCGCTGCATAAATAACCCAGTTGAGAACAAATAAGAATTAATAACGAAAATGAAATGTTGAACATACAAATTTAGCAGTTAAAAGTAAACAACAAATGAAAATATACATAAATAAATATATGAAATAAAGTCAAATTCAAAATCAAGTCTCTATTATTTTTTTCAACAATAAAATGGGAATACTTTCAAGCATATATTTTTATTCGTTTAAATATGTTTTTTTATACATAAGTAGAAACCTGCAAAAGTTACCTGGCATTAACTATAATTATTATAATTAGAAAATAACATTTTTTATGACATTTTATAAATTGTATTCCTATTTAAAAACTTCATAAACCATATATTATTGTTATTTTACATTTATATTTTCTTTAGACAAACAACGATTTGTACAACTCGGATTTGGAGCTCTCCGTCCAGTCGCTGATTTCATTGGGCGCCATAAAATTGATGAGTTTGTTGTGCACCACGTATCTGAAATTATTTTATAAATTTTATTATGAGTAGAATATAACATTAATTCAAATAGTTATTAGTTACCGCAGCTTTCTGCCCTTGCTGGCCCTGGTGTCCACCTTCTTCTTCATCTTCTGGCGCAGCTTCTGCAGCTCCACGAACTGTTTGGTGATCTCGCTCATGTTGGACGAGGTGCTGGCCTTGTACTCGATGAGCTCGCGGAGCTGCTGGTGATAGAAGTCGCTGTCGTCGTAGATGTGCTTCAATCGCGGCGCCGGCTCGTTTTCCTGCTGGTTTTCCGCCTGATTGCCCTTCGGCGTCTGCGACTTCTCCACCAGCACTTCCCGGTTGGCCAAGGCGCTGTCGATCTTCTTGATGATGTCGTAGTCCTCCTGCAGGGACTTGCGTTTGACACCCGCTCCTGGTGTGAGGAGCTTGGTGCGATCATCCCACTTGAGCAGCACTTCATTGCGATATCCCCTCATCTGCTGGAAGTTGTGGTGCAGCACAGAGCCAAACCTTTTGGCGGGTGGACCCGCCTCTGAATCCTCTGAAGGCTGCTTGCGCTTCACCGACTTCTTCATCTCGGAGTTCTGCTGGTGGAGGACCGACTGCAGGGCCAGCAGTTGCTGCAGCAGCTTGGAGGAACGCTCCTGGGCCTCGTTTAGCACCGTTTGCAGTTCATCATTCTGGGAGCCCAGTTGCTTTATGGCCTCCGGCGCTGGCAGCTGATTCGCCTTGCTGGTGAACTTCTGGGTGTTGATCCTAAGCTCGAGGAGTCGCTCCCAAATGCCCAGTTGGTTTTGGACGCACAGTCCCTTTTGGATTTCAGCCTGGTGGTTGGTTTTGGACATCACATCCGTGGGTTTGATGGCCTCTTCCTCGGCATCTTCATTAGAGTCCTCTCCTTCACTGTTGTCTTCGCCGGATTCATCGGAATCAGAGTCATCATCCTCCTCTTCATCATCATCAAAATGACCAGCCAGCAATTTCTGATTAAAGTCGGGCACAGGATCATCTTCGGCATCTCCAGGAGCAGTTTCCTCCTCTGAATCTTCGTCTTCTCCAGCCTTCAACTTGTTTTTAAAGTCTGCCAAATCCCCCTCATCATCTTCGTCCTCGTCGCTTTCCTCATAGGACAGCTCCTGGTCCTCATCCTCCTCGTCCAGCTCCTTGCGACTGCTAATCTTGCCCTTGTACCGATCACTCTGCTCCGACAGCAGCTTCACATTCCGCTTCCTGAAGTCGGTGCTCCGCGCATCCGGCAGGTCGTACTCCTCCTCCTCGAAATCCACCAGACGGGCACCGGTTGCCACGTCGAAGTCCGAGTCCTCCGCACTGTCGCTCTCGTTCGGATGGGAAAGCAGTTTGCCCACCTTTTCGGCCACCGTTTGGGGCTGTTTCTTTGATTTTCGCAGCATTTCGCTAGAGTTTCATTTAAATTTTTGAAAAGTGAAAGAGCTACTTTACCACATGGGAGTAGTGTTGTCAAAACAGCTTTTTTCCCGTCATTTCTGGCTTTTGTTCAACTTGTTGCGGGTCTTTTTTTGAAACAGTGGAAAGCGGGAATATTTGCCTTTTTTATATCTCCTTATTAAGAAATTCGACATGCTTTCCCAAGATTTCGCCAAAATTTACTATTATTAAATAATCAAATTTAAGAAATATACGTATTAAAATATTAAAAATTTGACCCGCAGAAAACATATTTTTTCTCACCAAAGTTGCCAGCACTGGTTCAGTGTGATCGTTGTTTGACAAATTAGCGTCGATGAGTTAGCAACAAAAGTGGAACGGTAGAAAATGGAACATTATTTCGCTATTTGGCGGCCGAATTGAAAAATTTGTATTGCACAATTTTTTACAATAAAAATATCAGTCTAGATAGGCTGGGCCAAATCAACAAGTGTTTTAAAAATGCATTTAAAAAATCGGATATGAACCATTTCTTCTGCAATTCATAAATAATAACTAATAACTATTAATAAAAAGTGCAAAAAGCAAATGAGAATATTGCAAATGAGCATATTACAATTAATTGTTATTGAAGCATTTTGTTAAACATGTAAAATGAGCAAGTAAAATGAGCATGTAACAAAATGAGCAAGTAAAATGGCTAGTAATATGAGCATGTAAAATGAGCAAGTAAAATGATTATGTAAAATGAGCCAGTAAAATGAGTATGTAACAAATTAACTTAAAAATTAAATGAATGGACATTTAAGAAAAAAAACATATCTTTTGAACTATGTACTATTTTTCCTTATACGGGGTATTAAAGAATTTCCAAAGTGTATGTGAAAAAGTAGCTCCCCACATTTATTTCAGATGATCTTGCAACCATTCGGCGACCGATGTCCAAATATGGTGTCATTCCGGTTTGGATTCTTAATAAAATATTCAATAGATTGCCTTTAAAATCTAAAACCAAATTTTTGCCTAATTAAAAAAAAAATTTACCATTTCCTGATGAAAACAATATATTTGTGGTCGGGCGCTTTATTTATCAAACAAAATCTAACAAGCTTTCAATTTTGGAAACATTTAAAACGAAGAAGAATTTTGTTTACATATGTGCGGCATTTTTCCTTTATTCTTTATGGGAAATTGCATTGTGTGTACCACATAGAGACTTTAGTTAAGACTGCATTTAAATGTAAGTTTATATATATATATATACCATATATTTTGTTTTTGTAGAGAAGATCACGCAGATCGCCTAGTCAGAAGCGTGAAAATGTAAATTTACTCTGTCTGCCAAACCGAGAACGAAACACAACTGCAGGAAAGGTCGAGCGGATTTTGAATATATCCAATATCCAGCTCGACGCAGGAAAGGCGAAATCTTGAATACGTGTTGGTACATCAAGCAAACAACGGATTAGAAAGTCAATCCGTCCTGATCGCCGTCTTTCCGGTCTTCCTTCTCCTAGCCGCTTCACAAAGGTCTCTGGTCCGTGAACCGCTCAGGCCTCGCCTGCTGTTATCTTGAAAAAATTGTTTGTTTCTTTGTTTTTTTTTTTTAGATTTTTTCCTTAAGATTTTCTTTTGTAGGTTTTGTTTTTGCCATTTGTCCATTTAACACTAGCTGGGAAGTCGTCATCATTGTAGCCATCGAGTTGAAAGTGAACGATTTTGATTGGTATTTTGTTTTAGTTTGGTCTAAACACAACAAGCAAATTCCTCGCAATGCTGTTGCTGCGTAGGCTGGGCTGTAACAGTTTCAGTTTTTTTTGTTTGGGGGAAACACGGCCACAACCGAGGCTGCAGCAGCGATTGCTGGTTTGGTTTTGCCGTCGTCCACGGCCTTCGTTAACTTTGGAACTCCATGTCGATTTGTGGTTGTACAGAGAGAACACGCTCGCACCCTTGTTTTTAGCTTGCATTGCAGACCAGAGTCTGCAGTTGCCTTTGCCGCCTTAGCGCCCGCTACCGTTGCCACTCCGCTGGGGACCGTTCATTTTTTGTTGGCCTTGAATTTGGCGTAGAAGCTCTGGATCTGGGCATAGCGGACGGGTATCGAGTCCAGGATGCCGGTGTAGCTGAAGTTCTGCTGCTGGCGGTTCTTCTCGTGCAGATTATCGCCGGACAAGTATGTGACCACGCTCTTCTGCAGCTCGCTTACGTGCGGATCGGCATGGTTGGCCACCAGGTGATTGCAGAACTGGGCAATTTGCAGGAAAACCGAGGCGTCACGATCTGGAAAAGGCAAAACAATTAGTTGGCACATTCTATAATGCGATAAACTCACTCCGTAAACTCACCCATCTTGCGTGATATTTTCAGCAGGGAGAGGGGCTGGCTTTCGTTATCGCGCTGGGCACGCAAGTGCCTATTGCCCTGCTTAAACTCCTGTTCCAGCCAGCGGATGACATGGCGAACATTCTCGCTGCGTTTCTTCAAGTCATCCAACTCGTTGAGCACTAAGTGTTAAAAGATAATCGATTAGCATGGTGTCTTTCTCCTTGACAGTAGGTTAAGGTGATTTGTGGATACAATAGAATAAAATAAATCATTCCTTAGTAAAGTATAGAGCCCTTCATTAATGGATGCAATGAATTATTTTGAATTTTTTGTTTTATATAAATTAATTAATTACAATTTGGAGTTTAATAGAATTGAAGAAATTTGAATTTTGAGTTTAATAGAATTGAATGAATGAATGGCATGAATTCCGAAATAATTCAAACGACAATTTCTTTTGAAGAAGGGTCATAAAAAAGGGTCATAATTTTGTGATTAAATCTGCTTGTATTTTATTTTCTAAGCAGTTAACATTTATTTGTTAAAAAATGTTCACTTTTGTCTCAAAAGAAAGCACAAAAAAAATCTGGAAAATTCATAAAAATTATTCATTCAATTCGAAATGAATTAAAAAAACATTCAATTTATTTGAAATAAATGAAATAAATTATTTCACATAGAATTGAATTAAACAAATCAGAAATATCATTGCATACTATGATAAACCAAAAAATTAAATAATTCACGTGGGGCTCTAGTAAAGTATTAAACACTCACCTGCATTCGGGATGAGGACTATGCACTTCTTGGTCCTCACCAACGACTTCACGATGCCATTGTATTCGGTCAATGCCTTCGAATCGACCACAACGAACGGGGACATGACCACATGGGCGGGACTGTCCCGCAGCTCCTCCTCCAGAGTCTCCACCTCGTTCTGCAGCCAGAGTTTGCCCATTAGCTCACACTTCTTCGACTTGGCCTCCGAGCGCTCCTCATCGGCGCCCGAACTGGACTGTACGTTTAGTTTCTCGATGACACTGTTTGTGGTGGTCGAAGCGGAGGTTCCGCCGGCCACAGAGGTTCCGGTGGCACTGGCTATGACCGCCGCAGCCTTTTCGGCATTGCGATTCCTTAGGTAACCCTTGCGCGGCACCTTGCGGCACTCCTCCACGGTGTCCTTCTCCTCGTTGCTGGTGTAGCTCTTGCGAACGATGCCGTTCTTGCGATCCGAGTAGCGACGCGTGCGTCCCTCATTGCGCTTTGTTCGGTTGGTTTTCGGAGCGGTACGACGCTCGCGGCGACGCGATCCGCCGCCCTTCTTCTCCTCGCGCTGCTTCTTCTTCTGCGTTTCGGTGAAACGACGTGTCTTTACGCAGAATCTATAGTTGAACTTCTTTTGCTTGCAAATGAAGAAGCCAAAGTCGACCATTTTGAAAATACGCAGTATGGACTCTTCCTGCGGAGTGACGCGCTCCCGGATAATGGTCTCCCAGTCCAGGGTAATCTGGGTGCTCTGGAAGATGTCGAAATTCTTGAAGGCAAAGTCCTCGGTGAGTGGAACATTGGCCCGAACATCAAAGAGCTCCACTAGGGAATCTCGCACATTGGCGGTGGTCAAGAGCTCGCGCTCAAAGTAAACCTTTCTGGTGAAGACATCGATGTTGCAGTAGTTCAACAGCTTCATAATCTTGTGCACAAATTCCGGGTTCGAGTGGTAGCAGCCGATGAGGATCTCGGGATTAATGCGCAGCCAGTCGAAAAGCATTTTCAGGGCTCTGATGGTGGGCTCATTGTGCAGACAGTCGATCACGATGTTGGGATTGATCTTGGTGTACTTGTTGCGATAAACCAGCTTCTTCGGTGGCTCTGAGAAGCTGACGGGCGGCGGTCCCTCCACCGGCTTGGTCTGCGCCTCCTCGGCGCTCTTGAAGTTCAGCTGCAGCACCTCAAAGCTGCGCAACAGCTCCTCGGAGTCCACCTCTTGGGAGTTTGATCTGCGCTCCATCTCCTCGGGATACACAATTTTCTCCTCCTCAATGACAACGTCTTCGTTGTCGGAGTAGACAAATCCTCCTCCTCCACCGCCTCCAGATTTGCGCTCTTTCTTGCTGTAAGAAGCTGCTGCATAAAGTTAAAATATTAGAAAGAACTATTAATTGTTATACCCGTTACTTGTAGAGTAAAAGGTATTCGTGCTTAAATTCTAATCTTGATTAGGATCACTAGCTGAGTCGATATAGCCATGTCCGTTTGTCCGTATGAACGCTGAGATCTCGGAAACTACAAAAGCTCGAAGGTTGAGATTTCCCACACATATTCTTGGGCTTCCAATGAAGCGCTAGTTTATTTCAGCCGAGCGCCACGCCCCTAATCGCCCACTAACGATTTTAAAATGTGTCTGGCGCCCACACCTTTAAAAATTTCCGAGAAGTATAAATGCAATTTTGTTGTGAATATTCATACCTATCGAAATGTAGAAGACATTTTTCAAATCGGACCATTCATTAAAAAGTTATACGCAATCAAAATTGTTTATAAATCCATCTCCCTCGCACTCCCTTTAGCAGAGTGACGGGTATTAGATATTCGGGACACCAACCCGACTATAGCGTTCTCTCTTGTTTGTTTTAAAGACTCACCTGCTTCGTAGTGCTCCTCGCCGTTGGGCTCGCCGGGATCGGCAGCATCGATGTCACTGAAGTCGGTGTCGAAATTGGAACTGAGATCCGTGTAGTCCTCCTCGTCGCTGTAGAAGTCCGTGTCCAGTTCGCTCTCGCTGTCGTAGCACGAGCTGTCGTCCGACTGGGCGATCTTGCGACGCCTTCGCCGCAGACGCATTCCGCGCCGCTTGCTCTTGCAGGAGAGCGGCGTCTTGAGGTCCGACTCCTTGGCCTCGTCGCTGGAGCGCGTGGAGACGGCCTCGCCGATCTTGTCGACGTCCGGAGCCTCTTGGGTCTTCGCCTCCTCGCCGGAATGCTGGCTGTCGCGCGAATCGGAGCTGCAATCCTTAAGCGAATGCGGACGCGGAATCATCTTCTTGTCCTTACGCTCACATTCGCCCACTGCTGCCAACCAGTTCTTGTACTCATTGCGCGACTTGCGCACTACCGTGTCGAACTCCTGGAAGCGCTGCTCGTACTCCGCCTGGAAGCGTTCGTTGTCCGCGGCGCGAGCCAGGATGGTCTGCTCGATGCTAACGATGCAGGCGTCCATTAGATCCGAGCAGGCGGCCACCAGAAAGGCGTGCAGCGAGTAGACCTTCGGCGAATTGATCATCTTCAGCTTGGACAGGCAAAAGAACAGAATCGAGACGATCTTGAAGATGCTCGGCTCCGGAACGCGCAGCTGCTGGGAGCAAAGGATCTTGCGCAGGTCAATCAGCACGCAGTGGCACAAAGCATTGAAGTCGGGAACCTCCTTGTCGAAGAAGAATATGTCCACAATCAGGTAGAAACGGGCGAAGAAGTCCTCGAGGCTAAAGTCCAGCTTCTCGGGATCCATCTGCTCCAGATATTCGGTGTGCTTGCCAAACAGCTTGTTTAGATTATTCTCGCTCAGCTCGAAGGGTATGATGCAGACGAGCGAGTACAAATAGTGGTAGGTGGAGTCCAGGTCATGATTCTGCCCATAGTACAGCGTGCCCAGCTGATTCTGGGCCATTCCAATGGCCGGATTGAGCTTAAAGGCCTCCAAATAATACTTGGCCACCTGCTCCTTGCTGATGCTCAGCTTGCTGTCGATGCGAAAGTCCAGGAAGTAGCGATGCAGATCGCCCAGGCTGAGCAGCGAGGAGTGTATGGTGTCCAGGGCAAAGGACACCGCCTCCAGGCTCTTGTCCACCGCCTGAGTGCCCGAATGCGTGGACTCCTTGGTCTCGCCGATCATGTCGCTTATGTAGCCATCACTAATGATGGAGAAATCAATCAAGTACTTGAGATCCAAATCGTAGATCTCCTCCATGCGTGCCGAGAGTCGCTTGTAGTTGAAGATGCCGGCGCATAGGAAGCGCTCCAGCTTCTGCATGTTCTCCTGGGCGGTTGCCGCATCCTGGCCCTGCTTGTGCCAGCTCTTCTTGACGAAGGCGATGAACTCGTAGTAGCCACGCCGCCACATCACCTCGCGCACCTTCTTGCCCACCGACTGGTAGTCCTTGAAGATGATCTGCTTGCACAGCTGCACCAGCAGCGAGCGCTTCTCCTCGATTTCGTGCTGGAACAGCTGTCCCACCGTCTGGACATTCTTCTTGGCGTCGTCCAGTTGCTTGGAGGCGGTATAAAGCGATCTATTAAGGGTTTAAATACGGAATTTAGTTATCTCTTTTGGTGGAAAGACATGCACAGACATGTAGCTTTGCAAGTACAGTCAGAGCATCGCTGATAGTTATTGAGGGGATTCCCTAAACTGTTGAATTGCTGAATTGTTGAATTTTGGTCAGCTGTTAATCAGCTGTTACATACAAAATCAACTTTTATTAACAATTTTAACAGCTGTTTGAAAATTAATTGCTGAAAATTTGTGTTGAATTTTTAACAATTCAACAGTTTAGGGAGTACCCTTATTGATTTTTTCTTACCTGTAGAGATCCTTTACCTCCTGGCTGAGGGTACAAGTGCCGTTATTTGGCTCCAGGGCGCGACATCTATTCGTCCCGCCCTCCATGGCGCACTCGCTGGAGGCATTCGATGATCCTCCCGAGCTGAGAGTCGCCTCCATTTCGAAGGGTTACTGAAATATTATGACAATATTTACTATTCAAAAAACGGTTTGATCTCGATTTCACACAGCTGGCAACTCTGTCGGTTTCCCGGACTCTCCAGCTGTTTCTCGATCGCAAAATCCCCTGGTTTTTTTGCTGACGAATTGTTTTTCGAAATAAATTTCTTTACTTTATTGCACGGCTGCGTATTGTTTTTGTTGTTGTTTTCGTTTCCACTGCTGACGCACACGAACACCAGCGCACGCGTTATGTGTATGTATCTGAGTGGGCGAGAGTGTATGCGTATGTCGTAGTTTATATTGAATAATCAATTAAACACATACAAACGCACACCTTTTGCTTGCTGCTCTGGTATTTTCGATACTGCAACTGCGATTGCGAAATAACCGATGCACTTTAACACTTCTCGAAGATCTCAACGCACTCAGGTAGAACCGGATGACGTCGCTTTACTGTTTACCTGGCCCATTTGCATTACCTTTTATTCGATTCGGTTGCTGTTGTGTTGTGTGTCGTTCTGCAAATTTCACGTTTTCGCTCTTCCTTTGTTGAACAACAAAATGGCGCGTACACGGTCAGACGGCGCAGCCCGAGGTGCTCCACATGCGCGGTATGATGGAATGCCGTTCAAAGTGCTACTTTCGGTTGGGAAACTCCTGATATGATAAGAAAATATTCCTGTTTTAAATTCTGGACAAAATGACATTGAATTCGTCGTGTAACATGTTGCTGATTTTGTTTGTTTACCTTTTTTTTTGGTATTCACAACGCTTCATGCAGTCTGAACGTGCACATTCGCCTAACACTTTTCAGTGTTGGTTAACAAGCTATCGATGAGTCGCACTTATCGATTGTTTGATTATCGGCGGGGTTTTTAAATGGCATAATACAGTTAATTTTTTGAATTGAGTCTTTATTTAATAAAGTTTATTATAGACTAGTTTACTAAACTTATTTACTCACAGTCTAACTCCATAATTTCCTTAATTAACTAAGAAAATACCACAGAATTCTTAAATTAAAAATCTGAAAATCAACAATGTTACTGAAAATTTTACTCTTAATATATAAAACAGATTACAGCTGCAGACTGCAGTTATTTTATTATTTTATTTACTATTTTTACTGCCTATTCATAATTTTAATGCTTCTTTTTACAGAGTCTTTACTATATTATTTACTAAATGAAAGAGTAAATATAAAATATAGCAAGTAATCAAAGCTGGGAAAGAGCATTGGCCGCCACTTTATAAAAGTTTTCTTTGTTTACGAAGAAAGATTTATGCACATTGGTTTATTTTTATATTAAAAATTAACACTTCTTTTTGTAACCCTTTTTTGAGGCGCCTTCAATATTTGCCAATGAAGCCGCCAAATGTGAAGAAATGTGTCAAGCATATTAATGATCTTCCATATGTCGGCTTATCTCCGATTCGTTCCTACCTGGCCGAGAACCTCCACTCCGTCTGGAAACCTCAGCTGCGACTAAGCCGATCTCGCATTAAAAATAAATAATGCTCGCGTTTATCGGACATTTCTCTCGTTTGGACACTCGATTTGCGTTTGGCACGTCGAGGGACAGATACCCGCGTGTCACACTGAAAAAAATCATTGAATTGCCAACTATTTAAAGTTTTAAATATAAAGTATTCTAAACATGTTATCTATATGTACATTATATATAAAAAATATTTATAGGTTTCAAAAACATTTATGAAAATAGAGATTAAATTTTATCAGGGACCGTAAATAAGACTTATTTCGGACTTTGATTTTATACAAATATTTCTTATCGTTTACCCATTTTCTAAGCCTCATGTGTATGATTGTAAGCCTCTAGAGATTAATTTGAATAAATTTGATTATTTTGAAAGTACCATGAAATCCCAAGCGTTTTTTTGGAATTGGAGTAAGTTTGCTCAAGGGAAACACTGCAAGAAATCTAATTTTTACAATAAGCAAAATATATTTATCTTTCAAACGATTAAAAAAATATATGACTTTACTTTTTTGCAGATCCTCCTAAAAAGATGACAAAAAAAATGAATTCTACATAATAAACTTAATTGACTTTTAATTCATTATTATACATTTGATAGAATTTTTCTTTAAGTGCTATTTGCCGGCCGATTCTCCAGCGGCCTCTCTGCTCTTGGCTATAAAACTCACGCAAAGAAATTCTCAGTTCTCAGTTTTAGTTCAGACCGCTGGCGAACCGGTCACGTTCGATACGTTTGAAATAAATATCGCCGGACACAACGTAAGTTTCTCTTTGGGATTCGAATTTTGAGAACTTGAAACAAGTCGCTCCCCCGAGCGCAATTAGGTGATTTGTAAATAACCTTTAGCAGCCTTCTAATTGAGGCTTGCAATTTATTTGCTCATTATGATTTAATTACTTGGCAAACTGTTCCGCGGTTTTATGGCTATCAATATACCAATAGTTCGATTCCACCAGTCATTCCTATAATCCCTTGATAATCTTATCTGGATCAGGCAATACACGCCTTGGATCCATAACATTTGCCGCAGTAATTTCGGTGGACATGGGCAATAAATTGTTAAATATCTCACACACTTTAGCGGTTGTTAGTCGATCTAATCGAGGTTATTTATGATCTTGATACGCCTCTACCAATAGTTTGCTTAGGGTTGTTTCTGAAACAATATTTGATATTTGTTTAGGTTGTTGCATTTAAGATAATTTCTGTAAATATAGATATATGATTAAAGGTATGTTTTACATGTGTCTAGCAAAATTCTGTAAGTAACAAACTTCAAGTCTTTACAATCTTTTGATTTGAAAATAGATTTGTCATCGATTACGAAAACCCAATATCTTATCACTTATTGTTAGACTTGTTCAGTTTGAAGTGAGTTCTAGCGAATTGTTAAAATCGTATGCGATCAATTGATATAAAGAGTACATATATAGTATAAAGCGTGTCGATCTGACCCCAGAGTCATACGAAAAATGAGACATTTTAATCAATTACGCGAGAGACTTCGTCTCGACAGATACGTCATCGAAATTGGCATAACAAGATGTCGTAGAATTCGAATAGAAATTTGAAAAATGCTTACTATAATTTCCAGGAGAGAAAGCTAAAAATGAGACTGTTTTTGCTAGTCCTGCTGGCTACTTTGGCGGTGGCTACCCAGGCTTTGGTCAAGGAGGAGATCCAGGCAAAGGAGTATCTGGAGAATCTGAACAAGGAGCTGGCCAAGCGCACCAATGTCGAAACAGAGGCGGCCTGGGCTTATGCCTCCGACATTACCGATGCGAATGAGAAGAAAAAGAACGAGATCTCCGCCGAGTTGGGCAAGTTCATGAAGGAGGTGGCCAGTGACATAGCCAAGTTCCAGTGGCGCTCCTTCCAATCGGAGGAACTGAAGCGTCAGTTCAAGGCTTTGACCAAATTGGGTTATGCTGCGCTTCCCGAAGCCGATTATGCTGAACTATTGGAGACCCTCTCCTCCATGGAGTCGAATTTCGCCAAGGTGAAGGTCTGCGACTACAAGGACAAGACCAAGTGCGATTTGTCCCTCGAACCGGAGATCGAGGAGGTCATCAGCAAAAGCCGCGACCACGAGGAGCTGGCCTACTACTGGCGCGAGTTCTACGACAAGGCCGGAACCGCCGTGCGATCCCAATTCGAGCGCTACGTGGAGCTCAACACCAAGGCGGCCAAACTGAATAGTAAGTGGATATATATTTTTAGCCCATAAATCAAAACAATTATACGAGTATTACGACCACAAGAGAGATTTAGGTTTGCATATTAAAACCTATAAGGTATATGCTTTTTAGAACCTGAGTGCTTAGTTAGTTTTTTGCTTGAAAGCACTAAAAAATTCAATTTCTTTCTTAAAAACAATATTCCACTGGACTTATTATTTGAAAATGTATAATTAAAGTAAATTAAGTTTTTTTAGAAAGTATAAAAACAATATGGGAATTTCGCAATTATAAAGAATAACAATTCGAATAATGAGCTTAGTTTTTAATCATTTGGTAATTAGTTATGATTGTAGTGCAATTTGTTGTAGTAAACTTATTAAGTTGGAGTTTTGCGCAAAATTACTAATGGCAGTTTCGTTTTTATCAAATATAATCTAGAATTTATACGCAAAACTCGGTGAAAAATGCATTTGTCATCTAAGCGATGAATATAATTAAGAGCAAACTAATTTAAACAAATTGTAAATTTGCTATATTATATTATATTTATATTAACTGTAATTTCGAAAACTTTTTAATCACCAGACTTCACCTCTGGCGCCGAGGTTTGGTTGGATGAGTACGAGGACTCGACTTTCGAGCAGCAACTGGAGGACATTTTCGCCGACATTCGTCCGCTCTACCAGCAGATCCATGGCTACGTACGCTACCGCCTGCGCAAACATTACGGTGAATCGGTGGTTTCCGAGACAGGACCCATTCCCATGCACCTTTTGGGCAACATGTGGGCTCAGCAGTGGTCGGAAATTGCGGATATTGTATCGCCTTTCCCCGAGAAACCCCTGGTCGATGTCAGCGAAGAGATGGAGAAGCAGGGTTACACACCGCTGAAAATGTTCCAAATGGGCGACGACTTCTTTACCTCCATGAACCTCACCAAGTTGCCGCAGTGAGTAGAAATCAAGAGTTCATCAAAAGAAGTTTTTATTAAAGATATTTGTATTTTTTCCAGGGACTTCTGGGACAAGTCGATCATTGAGAAGCCCACCGATGGCCGCGATCTCATTTGCCATGCCAGTGCCTGGGACTTTTACCTCACTGACGATGTGCGCATCAAGCAGTGCACTAGGGTTACGCAGGATCAGCTCTTCACCGTCCACCACGAACTGGGACACATTCAGTATTTCCTTCAGTATCAACATCAGCCTTTCGTCTATCGCACTGGCGCCAATCCTGGATTCCATGAGGCCGTCGGCGATGTCCTTTCCCTTTCCGTTTCCACCTCGAAGCATCTGGAGAAGATCGGCCTGCTGAAGGACTATGTGCGCGACGATGAGGCCCGCATCAACCAGCTCTTCCTCACTGCCTTGGACAAGATCGTCTTCCTGCCCTTCGCCTTCACCATGGACAAGTATCGCTGGTCGCTGTTCCGCGGCGAGGTGGAGAAGGAGAACTGGAACTGCGCCTTCTGGAAGCTGAGGGACGAGTACTCCGGCATTGAGCCACCAGTGGTGAGAAGCGAGAAGGATTTCGATGCCCCTGCTAAGTATCACGTATCCGCGGATGTCGAGTATCTAAGGTTGGTAGCGATTAATATTCAAAAATGTTTAAATTTAATTTATTTATTTTATTTTTTAGGTACCTGGTCTCCTTCATCATTCAGTTCCAGTTCTACAAGTCCGCTTGCATCAAGGCCGGTCAATATGATGCCAACAATGCTGAGCTCCCTCTGGATAATTGCGATATCTACGGCAGTGCTGCGGCTGGAGCTGCTTTCCAGTAAGTCTTGTAACATTAATACCTTTTGAAAATCTAAAATCGGACCATTCACTCAAAAGTTATGACCAAATAATGGAAAGTGCGCTCGCAAGCAGTGCAAGCAGTCGCTTTACTGCTTAGTAGATATATCTTCTAATTTATATCCCTTAACTCTAGAAACATGCTGTCTATGGGCGCCTCGAAGCCCTGGCCCGATGCACTGGAAGCCTTCAACGGAGAGCGCATCATGTCCGGAAAGGCCATCGCCGAATACTTTGAGCCTCTGCGCGTTTGGCTTGAGGCCGAGAACATCAAGAACAATGTCCACATTGGCTGGACCACTTCAGATAGTAAGTTAGATCTTCGAAAAAATCATGAAACCCCGGCTAAATAATTGTTTTCCTTTTTTCAGAATGCGTGTCTTCTTAATTGAACTGATTTATGTGTTCTCACACAGTATTTGTGCTCAATAAAGTTTCACAGTGCCTTACTGGTTTTAATATCTAAAAAGACGTTTTTTATTATAAGTATACTTTGTGGATATTTAATGCTTTGATCATATAATATACATTGGTAACAAAACTTTACCACATTAAAATATTGTCCCTTAATCTGGAACAATACTATATGATCAAAATGGAGATTACTTTACCATAACAAAAACGAAAATTCACAATTATATTAAATAATCTTACATTAATAACTCATTTCTTAAAATTTCATGTAAATTTATGCTTAAAGAACAGGTAATTTCAAATCTACGTATGATAATTTTTTGTAAATAGAAAAAACCTCTTAAAAACGAGTGCTGGTTATAATTGTCTGTATGAACGAGTTATAGAGTGTCTAAATTACTGAACTCGTCGTTGTTGTGTTTGCCAAGTGGAACACATTATAATTACAAATGGCCAACTGGGCGCCCAGTAAGCCACCAAGTTGCTTCACTGACCATGGATTGTCGTTGGCCCAAGTCAGTTGACTTCGAGAGCTGCTCATGCGCAGAACGTTTGATCAGACCTTTACAAAAGGTGCCGGGAATTTTAATGAGCTAGTAAATTGAGTTGCGAAAGTGAATTTTGGTAGAAAGTGTGGGAATATGTGGATATGCTTAGCGGTTTTGGTGAGTTTAAATGCTTAGGTTGAGCTATAAACTTTTCTTACTTATATTCCTCTTAAGCTCCTGGTGGGATTTACCCAGGCTGAATCCCCGCCTGATGCCACATTGGATAGATTTTTGAATGAAACCAATCAACAACTCGCTGTTATTTATGATCAGGCTGTTTTGGCTAAGCTATTGAATGAGTTGCGTGGTCCCAATGATTTGGTGGCTCTCCTGGAGATCGAGGTCACCGATGATAAGTTGCTGAAGTTTGTGAGGACTCTAACGACCCGCAAGGCCAAGTTCAAGCGCCTGGGATTGGGGGATTCCCGCCAGCGGAGATTACTCTATAAGTTTCCCCAGCTGGGGTATGAGGCACTGAATGACCGAGATTTGGAGCGGGTCTACGCACTGGCCACCAATATGAGCGATAATTACCATAATGTCAAGCTGTGTGCCTACAAACAGCCGGGTAATTGCACTTTGCGACTCATACCAGAGGTCCAATCGATAGTTCAGGCAAGTCGAGACCTCCAAGAGATCGAATATTACTGGTTCGAGTGGCGAAGTCGCACGGGCTTGGCCACCAGATCTCAGTTCGTGGCCTTTATGGATCTTTATAAGAAAACAGCCCAGCTGAATGGATATCCCCGCGCCGAGGACTATTGGTTTCGATCCTTGGAACTGAATGGTTTGGAAACTATGACCCTGCTGGATAAAATAATGCATGGATTGAGGCCGTTGTTTCTCCAATTCCATGCCCATGTCAGGGGTTCTCTGAGGAAGATGCACGGCGAGAATTTGGTGCCCCGAAATAGACCCTATCCCCAGCATTTGGCAGAGGTCTTTATAGGAAATTCTTTTAGAAGAGTGCAGGCCGAATGGTATGTGGATCTACCTTCGCCAGCGACGGGTTTGGCCAATATCACGCAGGAGCTGCATCGTCGGGGATTGAGCACCACTCAAAGGATTTTCTGGAATGTGGCGGAGTACTTCAGATCACTGGGTCTACCACAGTTGGAGGAGTGAGTTATGAATCAAATAGAATTAAATGCAAAAACGGATTGTGTGCAGCAAACTTTGATGAAAAACCAATTGTTCTAAAAAACTTTGATTAAAAGTCAATTGTTCTCAAAAATTTTAATATAAGAGATAATCTGATTAAAGATAAATTATAATTAAAGATAAATTGATCTCAAGGTTTTGATAAATTTAAATTTTTCTCAAATTTTTTTTCTCAATTTTGATAAAAGATAAATGGTTCTCAATTACCTTAATTGTTCTCAAAAATACTTAATTAGATTTAAGATTTTTATTTTAACAAAGTTTGTTAAAATATAATCCGATATTTAGTTATGAAATTAGGTATAATATTACTATTAATTCGTTACCATTACAGCTCCCTTTGGACCTATGCCCAAAAGGTATCCGCCGATGACGACGATCGCTGTTGGCACAAAGCCTGGCGGTATTACGCTTTGCCCAGAACCAACTTTACCTATTGTCCCCTGAATGACGAGGAGCGTTTCTTTAACATGTTCGAGGCCCAGGCGGATCTACATTACTTTCGGGCGGCCTCGATTCAGCCAACTTTACTGCAAGAGGAGCCCTTTCCCAATTTCAGTGATGCCATTGGCAAGTGCTTCTCCCTGGCAGCCAGTTCACCGCGATTCCTTCGAAAACTGGGATTACTAAGGGATGGCAAATGGAAGGAGTTGCCCGCCCGTCTAAATCGCCTGTATGTTCAGGGCCTGAGGGTTGTGTTCCTGTTGCCCGTTTTCTATGTCCTCGATCGCTATCGAGTTGAAGTTCTGGCAGGACATATAAAGGCGGATGACAACGAGGCCTATTGGCGATTTACGGAGCACTATACTGGAGCAAAAGCTCCAACGAAGAGGACCAACGAACAGTTCGATGTGCCGGCCAAGCTCCTCATGGAAGTAGATGATCAGTATGCCAGGTGGGAAAGTAAAATATATAATATTTTATGATAGCAAAATTAAATTACCACTTTTTCAGCCACTTTCTAAGCATTGTTCTGCAGTTCCAATTGTTGAAGCACTTTTGCACCGAATCGGGACAGTTTGAGAGTGGTAATCCCAGTAAACCCTTGGACTTGTGCGATCTATCCGATCAGCGAGGCATCGGAGGGATCCTCCATAAAGGGATGTCGCTAGGATCTTCGGTTCACTACCGGCAAGTACTGCAGGAACTCGTTGGTGAATCTGAGATCAGCATAGATGGCCTGCTGACGTACTTTCAACCCCTACAAGATTGGTTGCAACAACAAAATCAACAGAATGACCTGGAAGTGGGTTGGACATAAAGTCTGGGCTACAAAATTGTATTTAAATGTTCTGATTGTACTTTAAAGTTGTTTCATAGAGATTAAATATTTATTGAGAGATTTATACACCGGAGAAATTGTAACAAGTCATAAAACAAAATAAGAAAAACTCAAGATCGGAAAGTATTGCTGATTTCATTAGCCCAAAAAGTATGCAATAAACGATTACAATTTCCTTACACTTGTAAAATACATGTACAAAACATAAGAAGTTCAGTCGTAATTAATCCTCCATAAAAATTTTTTCAGCGGCTGTAGTTAAAAAATCACATTAAAAAATTAATCTCTTACAACTTTTTTGCAGTTGATTTTTAAACGTTTCAAATAGAGAATATGTTTATTGTTATTTTAAATTATTCTTATTAAGAGTTTTTATTACGATTTTTTTTTTGCCTGCGCCTTGTAATTACCAAATTCAAAATTAAATAAAAATTAAAATTTATTGAACTCCAGTTCCTTTTCGACCAAATGAGTTAAATGTAATTTACATTCGCATGTCTCTTTTTACTTTGAGTCAAAATGTGTTTTGTAACGTAAATGTAGATATTAATCAAAATTTGTTCCGCCAAACTCCCGAAACTCTGTGTCGAGCTGCTGTAGAAGAAAACTCTTGCACAATGGCGGCCCAGGGTGTCTTTTCCTGCGAGTTCGAGGTATTCGGCAAGGTGCAGGGCGTCAACTTCCGGCGCCATGCCTTGCGAAAGGCTAAGACTCTGGGTCTCCGCGGATGGTGCATGAATTCAGGCAGGGGCACCGTGAAGGGCTACATCGAGGGACGACCCAAGGAGATGGACGTGATGAAGGAGTGGCTCAGGACAACGGGAAGTCCACTCTCCAATATCGAAAAGGTCGAGTTCAGCTATCAGAGGGAGCGCGATCGATATGGCTATACCAACTTTCATATCAAACCCGATCCCAATGAGGAGGAGGCTCCTGAAAATGAAACAATAGGCAGTAGTTCGAGCCACAACGATTAGTGGAGTTTTTGGCGGAACAATAAAAATTTAAGGTTTTATTAGTATTTGACATTTTGATTTACGGTTGATTAAGAAACCCTCCACAGAAAAAATAATTTTAGAGATAGTATTGTGATAAGATTATAAAAGAATTACGTTATACAAGTGCTCACTGTTAGTATAAAAAAAAGTATATAGAAAATGTATATATTTTTTTTATTTTAGCTGTCATGCAATTTCTTTTAATATTTTTATTCACAAGGAAATATATTCAAAAATCCTTGTGTTTCTTAGGGGAAGTGAATTCGGGAAACCAAGAGTCACAGTTCGGTGGGTTTCCATTCGATCTCAATTAGTCAACGCCTTCTTAATGATGATTAACTTGTGCATAGTGACAGCATTGTTTACCTTAAATAACCGGAAATAATCTAAGCCAAATGCTAAACATAAGCGAGCGCCCTATAATTAAAATGCACTTGATTATAATGACTCTCGCGGGCTCTTCACTCAATAGCCACTTATTAAAACCATGCAAATAGCAATAGTTGGAAAAAAAAAATTAAAAATAAAAAGTAACTACAATACGTGCTTAATGTGCGTCATGCAAAGCGGTTAGCGATTCGCTGGGCGTATTGACTTACTCGAACTATTCACTCGTGTAAATTAATTACTTACAGGCACTTGGCGTTATTTTCCCACGGTTCTTAGCCCAGAACTTGTACTGAAATACCTACCAGATCTTAAGTATAACCCATTGCCCGTAGAACCCAGTTTGACCTTGACTGGTAATTAGCTTTTTGGCTGAAATATGGTTTATTTTTGTTTTGGAGGGATCAGTTCCAGGTACAAAATCACGGAGCAGCCAACCACATCATAAAATGTCTAATATTTATGAGCTCATATCCGAGACAGATAGACCTGGCAGATCCCAATCTAATTACTGCCTGAATCACATATCTCTCTACACATTAATATACACTATATGCACTCTCGATTGTATGCCAGTAGATTGGCAATCAAGCCATCAATCAGCATGCCAAGTCATTCGATTCATCGGGGTGGAGAGTCATGCAACCCCAGTTAACACCTTTGTGGATAGTTCTCTCCCCAGATCCCCATACATCTGGATCTTCTCCAGTAGCAATCATTCAAATTCACATGAGTCACAACTTTTTCACATGTCGCCGGGTCAAGATCGAGTGTAAAAATTGCACATTCCACAAGCGAGGGTGGAAAGAATCAGAACCTAATGTCATGCATTTTAAATGACACTTTTCCTCACGTGAATAAAATTAATCTTTCAATGACTCGTTCCTTAGCTATTTTCTTTTGAATACAAAACTCTTCTTGGGACTATTGTTTAATTTAATTTTAAATAACATTTTAAAAAATATTGTTTGCATTTCCATTCTACTATTCCTACACAGAAAAAAATATGACAAAATATCAAATTGATATTTGTTGGTTAATTTGATCTTTTTTAAGGATCAAGTTTCGTCATATCATTCTAACATGAAGAAATATTATTTTGATCTTATTTCATATTAATTTTTGAAAAAAAAATACTGAATTCGGTATTTAAAACAAGTATATTTACAATTTATATGAAATCGTATGACTTTGATATGAAACAAGAAAGGAAGCTAGCTTCGGCCAGCCGAAGCTTATATACCCTTGCAGATCATTCCTATTAATTACCAAATCGCAAAAATGTTCAATTTTCTAATATTTCTCATTAATTTTCCGATCGTTCCTATGGCAGCAATATGATATAGTCGTCCGATTTTGATCAAATTAAAATTGAAATTCGAAAATATTTAAAAAGAGTCATATCCTAGAGTAGAAGATAATACAATAAAATCCAAAGAAGCTAGAATTTATTTCCTATTACTTTTCCATTAATTTTCCGATCGTTCCTATGGCAGCTATATGATATAGTAGTCCGATTTTTTAAATAATTAATTCGAAATTCAGATATATTTAAAAAATAACATCCCCAAAAGTAGAAGGTAATATTTCAAAAAACACCGAAGCTATAATTTTTAAAAGTTTTTTTTTCCGATTGTTCCTATGGGAGCTATAAGATATAGTTGTCCGATCCGGTCGGCTCCGACATATATACTACCTGCAATAGAAAGAAGACTTTTGGGAAAGTTTCATCCCGATAGCTCAAAAACTGAGAGACTAGTTTGCGTAGAAACAGACAGACGGACAGACGGACAGACGGACGGACGGACAGACGGACGGACAGACGGACAGACGGACAGACGGACAGACGGACATGGCTAGATCGACTCGTCTTGTGATGCTGATCAAGAATATATATACTTTATGGGGTCGGAAACGTCTCCTTCACTGCGTTGCAAACTTCTGACTGAAATCATAATACCCTCTGCAAGGGTATAAAAATATCAAATGTCGTTTCGAATTTAGTTCGAAAGGGAGAAATAGTGTTCCACAGTTTACAACACTGTACCAATGTGAGATTGTGCAGCACTGCAAAAACAGCTGGCCCAACTTTGAGACCAAAAATATTCGAGAACAAGGTGTTTTTATTGTCAAATGAAATCAATTAATTTTTTTATTGAGTGCTAAGTCGAAACATTACAAAGTTGTGGTGATTTTAACTTTGCCGTCGAGTTAGCACACAATTTAAAGACATTTCTGAATGTGCGTGTGTGTGTGTGCCGGCCGCAGTTTTACGTTGTGTGTGTCACAGGTAAAACTAAAATAATAAAATATTGAAGATTTTGCTGGCCCACCTATACATATGTACACCGACTTAAAAAAATGTGAAATGATTAGAATTAAATTGTTTTAATATAAAATAAAAATTTCTGTTTTACTGGGGGGTACTAATATACACGAAATAATATCATTTTAATGAACAAAATTGATATAAAAAATATCATTTTGATGACAAAAATTGATATAAAAAATATCATTTTGATGACCAAAAAGTTCAAATGTTATTTTAAACACTAATCTTTCTTAAGATTGAATTGATATTTAACAAGAGGGAACGTTATAGTCGGATGCCCCGACTATCAGATACCCGTTACTCAGGTAAAGGGAGTGCGAGGGAGATGGAGATAGAGATAGAAAACGTTGATCACGCATAACATTTTAACGAATGGTCCGATTTGAAAAATTTCTTCTACATTTCGATAGGTATTGATAAACACAATAAAACTGCATTTTTACTTTTCCAAAATATTAAAATTTTTAAAATCGTATATAAGCGATGGTGGGCGTTAGAGGGGGCGTGGCACCATTTTGAAACAAACTTGCGCTGCGTAGGAATTCCTAAAATCTGCATGCAAAATGCCAATCTTCTAGCTTTTATAGTTTCTGAGATCTCAGCGTTCATACAGACAGACAGACGGATAGACGAACAGACGGACAGACAGACGGACAGACGGACATGGCTAGATCGACTCGGCTAGTGATCCTGATCAAGAATATATATACTTTATGGGGTCGGAAACGCTTCCTTCTCCCTGTTACATACTTTTGCACGAATACAATATACCCTTTTACTCTACGAGTAACGGGTATAAAAATATCAACTTGATATTCTCGAAAATATCAACTTGATATGTTCGAAATATCAATCTTGCATTAATTAATATCGGCCCAAATTTGATATGAAATAATGTTAACTTGAGTGCAATTTCATATCAATTTTTTTTTCTGTGTATTAGTTTAATGGGCTGTGGAACGAATTCAAAGCTTCAGAGGCATCAGAAGTCATTAGTTTCTGCCCATTAACCGGTGCTAAAATAGTGATTTGCTCTTGCGGCTTGCTCGAATCACAGGTGGAACGCATTCGCTTCAGCCGCGTCAACTACACCTGTTTATTGTATTTGCCGGCATGAGTCGAAATCTTTGCAACATTTCTTTGGGTCAAGAGCAACAATGAAAACGCCACAAATGCGGGTGGATGCCATTAGTATGTGTGAGAGGAACGCAAGACGAGTTTAATCAAAAACTTGAGCAAAACAAATAGTTTATCGGCAATGACTTTGTACGGCTTTGTTGATTGTAGTTCATTGATTTGTTTACTAGGAAGATTTTGTTCTAGAATTTCTTTTATAAAATAATAAAATTAAAAGAAACTATTTTATGTGTAGTATTACTTCAGCTTTAAATACGTTAAATGGGGAAAAATATAAGCTTTAAAATATTGATAAAAACAAGACAATTTTGTTTTTATTTATTACATTTTATTGTACAAACAAAGTCCTATTTTTTCACTTTTTGGATGAACGACTACCCACTTTGTACTCGGAGTTTTTATTCCTACTTTAAATTTAACACGCGGACGATAAAACAGGGTTTAGAATTAAAACAAAAAATAAAATTTCTTAACCAAATAGCAACCAATATCTCGACTTCAAACTCAATCCGACTGAGTTGCAACCCATGGGAGTCCACTCAAATGTCGTGTACTTTCTCACAGTCGACTATTTTTATGCGGTTGAGCTTTTCGCTTGATAAGTACACGAATATACATGCACCTTGTAGGGGCACCCTTACCCTCCCTTTTAATGGCCAACATGCATGGCAAAAACATTTACATACTACTCACTCACTCACACAATTGAGAAGCCAGCTCATTGTTGTTCCCAGGTTTATGGAAGATGCGATTGTAGTTGTTGTCGCTGGCAGTGCTAATTGCGATTATCTCACACGAATATACAAAATATATAGAGAAGTTGGCAGCGACGTTAGCTGCAACGGCGACAGTGACTGCGTTCAAATTTGAATTCATTTTCGAGTTGAAAAAAAAGTGGCAAGTAATTTCGAAAAATATTCTTACTGTCTAGTCAGTAGAGTTTTAGACGCGTTACCGGACGTACGTGGGCGGTACGAAAAAAAGCGCAGGAAATCGTGTGTTGAGTGAAAGTGAAAACGGCAAGAGTTCTTACTTGAACCCCAAGATCGTATGGAGCTCTTACCAAAATATATAACGAAATAAGCATAGAATCTTGTGATCTTGTGCGCTAAATATACTGCCAGTGGCTGGCAATTAAAATATTTAATTGCTTGTGAAAGAGTTAATAACTAAGCTGTCAACGGCGACCTTGGCAGTG